CCCAAAACCCCCCAACCAAGCCATGCTGGCTAGGAATTTCGGGGAGTTAAATTCTACACATCTTCAAGCTGCCAAGGTTGAGAAACACTGATCTAGAGGAAAAGGCCAGTCTTCAGCATTTTTTGCTCTACCTTTCATCTCCAGGAGGCATGGAAAGGAGCAGGAGGAGTTAAAGGACCAGGCCAATCATGACAAATTCAGCTTTAACCAAAACTTTAAAATCCTCATTCAGGTCCTAGATTTAAGCTTTATTAGGCCTACTTCTAAGTGGAGTGCTGCATTTGGAACACCACATGCCACTTGAAACTCTTTCCTTAGAAACTTGGTCTGAATGGTCTCAAGTACGCATTTCTTACTTCCTGGTCCTAATTTCACTTCATAGAAGAATTGCACTAGAGGGTCAGCCTCAAAAAACTTGATAGCAGTTGGAATATATTGTGGTCCCCTCAGGTTGAAGAAAGACCAAACATTGTAGTACTGTTTTGAGCCTTCTTGGCTGCATATGAAAAGTGTGTATTTTAATTACCAAATAAATGGAAAATCATCCCCAGATAGGTAAAGCAAACTACCTCATTGAATTTCTGCTCATTAATTATCCACGTCAAATTTTGGGGGACCTTTTGAAAATACAGTGATCTTTGTTTTATTGCTGTTTGACTAAGTTGCTGCTCCCTTTGGAAGAGTGATAGAAAACTGAATGTCCTCATTAGCTCCATGGAGTCATGATAGGTTCACTTCATCTTCTGAATATATTAGCACTGTCTACTGTGTGCCTATCTGCAATCTTTGGTGGATGAAATGCTTTTTTAGTTAACTGATCAACCACAGCATTAATGAAAAATTAAATAAAAGTAGGTCAAGAATACTTGTTTAACATGTCTTCTAGTAGGAACAAAATTAGAAAGGGGGTCTGCTGAATTACATCCTACCTTAATATTGGTGTTCTCATACTTCTTATAGATAAGATCAGGCAGACGACAATCAGTTGTTGTACCTCTACATTTTCCTCATCATTCTAAATTTATGATCAAATGCCTGTTTAAAATTAATACATGTGGCTTATAAGGCCAAGTTTGTTTTGCTTCATTTTTATTCACCAGGTGTGTGGTACAGAAGTCTATTCTCCATTGTACTTCTGCCAGCTCTAAAATCTGCCTGTTCATTCCCAACAATGATTTATTTACTTATTTGTTTTAAAATTTGTATGCCACCTGACATCCAATAACTCTACGCGGCTCACAAGTAAAAACATTTTCCAAAAAGATTCAACAAAAATAAGGAATAAAAGATAGCAAGATGACAGAAACTGGAAGGAATGGAAAAAATAATCCAAGGGAGTTTCACTCATCTTCACTAAAGGCCTGGGAGAAGAGACAGGTCTTCAAGCCCCTTTAACACCAGAAAGAAGGGGGTCACGTGGATTTCAGGAGAATCTCATTCCAGAGAGTCAGCACTGCTACAGAGAAGGCATACTTCTGGGGTCCCAATAGATGATTTTGTTTAATTGGATGAACCTGGAGCGTGCCAACCCTGCTGGATCGAATCAACTGAGCAAATACTATGGGAGATGGTGGTCCCTTAAATACCCAGGCCCTATGCCTTGAAATGCTTTATAGATAACAATCAGTACCTTTTCCTAATTCTACTAGTCTAAAGTTTTCATATATGTGTCTACTCTAGAACTTACTAATGAAGCTTAATAAACAAATTGGTCTGTCATTGCCAGGAAAGTCTTTCTTTCCCTTCTTAAAAATTATAGCAATTATTGCCAAACTCTAGTCTTTAAGAATCTATTATTTATATATGTAAATAATGGGGCCAAAATTGGTGCCAATCACTCCAAATTGTTTCTGGGAGAGGGGATAAAATCAAATCTTTCCCAGGTGCCTTTGTAAATTTCAGCTGACTGATCACTTTGGAAACTTCTGACTCTGACATTTGTGGCCAGTACAGCACCATGTCACAGAATTATTAGTGGAAGAGTTTCTACATTCAGTTTAACTGAGATTATTGGAGCTGCATATATCCAAGCCAACTCTATGAGGTCCAATAAATATAACCAAGCAATTGAGTTAGTATTGTCAGCATGAAGCTAAACACTAATTAGTACCTGCTATGGGAGATGGGCGGCATACAAATTATTAAATTGGGGAGGCGGCTCGCAGTGAAAATCAGAAACCCCATCAACAATTAAAAATCCCCCATAAATAGTTAAAATAAATA